GGGGGGGGGGGGGGGAGAGATATCTCCAGCTGAGAGCTTCCGCATTCCCCAGGGCTGTTCCATTTCTGGAGCCCCAGGCCAACCGCAAACTCTTCTTTTAGCACTAATTACACCTCCTAATCTCTCCCGTAATGATTAATTCAGCACTAATTTGATACACCATGAATGCAGCAGAGGCAAGCGTGTGAATCGGCCGTTCACGCTAATGGATTAAAGAGAGGTCCAAACAGCCCCCAGGCTTGGAAGGGAGCCACGCAACGCTCCCCCCACACTCCCACTGCTCTCCCTGGGGACAGCTGTGCCCAGGAGGAGCTGCAACGACAGGGAAGCCGAAACAGAGATCCGTCTTTAGAGGCAGGTCCTCCAGTTGTACTGTCAGATATTCCAGAAGAATTGGGGGGGGGGGGAAGTACAGTGGTGCTGCCACATTTTGCTAAAACTCTGAAACAGGACAACGCCACAGGCAAGGCAAAAAAACGGGGGAGAGGGAGAAAAATCCAGGAGCCGATACAAACCATTTACAATGAATTGTTCCCCCCCCCGCATATAGAGTTTTCTTCCCTTAAAAAAAATTCCAATGCATCTTATTGTCTAACAGCCAACTGCTCACTAGTCCAGAGATGGCTCTTTCAGCCTTGATCTGCCTCTTGCTCCCACCTGGGCCTTCGAAAGCATTGGGTTAGGCAGCCTTTCCCTGCTTCACGGCAGCAGCCAGCAGCCTCGGATACTTCCCATTTCTCTTTCGAGCTCCCTCCACCCAAGGGAAAAGCAACCCAACCATGAGGGAATTGGAGGGGGTGGACTTGGGGGGGGGGGGTCATGGAATATGGCAAAGCAAAGCAAAGCAAAGCAGAGCGGGACCTGTCTTGCTATGGCACACAAACCCTTGCAGAGCTCTCTCACGGGTGCTTAGCTGAAAGGAAAGGGGAATCTTGTGAGCACATAAAAATGCTCCCACACAGATCTAGTTTATTTTAAGAGTGCTTGTGGAGGAGAACTCACCTGTGGGTTTCTACATTCTGCTAGTTGGTGGAAGACAGGATAAATAAGACAAATAAAGGGGCTCAAGATCATACCAAGCCTTATTAGATGTTAAGGACCAAATGGATGCTATCATGACAGCTTAGTAGAATGGATGTACCTCGCTTAACGTTTACCTCGCTTAACGTTTACCTTGTTAAACGACGAATCCGCTTTACGATGGCTTTTTTGCAATTGCAAAACAATGTTCTTATGGGGGAAATTAGCTTCACGACAATCGGTTCCCTGCTTCGGAAACCGATTCTTCACATTACGACGATCTAAAAACAGCTGATTGTTGGGTTTCAAAATGGCTCCCACTGTGCAAAATGGCTCCCCGCTGTGTTAAGGACAGATTCGTAGCTATAGAGGCACCAGAAAATGGCCGCCCTATGGAGGATCTTCGCTGCATGGTGAGGTATTTCATCCATTGGAATGCATTGAATGGTATTCAATGCATTTCAATGGGTTTTTAAATTTTGCTTGACGATGATTTTGCTTAACAGTGATTTTAACGGAACACATTATCGTCGTCAAGCGAGGCACCACTGTATCATGAGAAGACAAAACTCACTGGTAAAGAGCGATACTAGGAAAATCTGAAGTCAGTAGGAAAAGAGGAAGACCACGCATAAGATGGATTTACTCAATAACTAAGACCTGAGGAGGGCCTTTAATGACAGGACCTTTGTAGGTCATTAATTGATAAGAGTTGGCATACATGGCAAGTGACTTGATGGCACATAAACCACGCCGGTGGTGAGGGTTTTTCAGTTCAGACATTACAGTCAGAACCTGGGAAAGTCATTTCTTTAGATTGCTACTCCCAGAATCCTGGCCAAGGCTGGAGGAAGGTGTATAGTCCAAGAGCCAACTTTCCTAAGCTCCAAGCCAAAGAGGAAGAGAAGAGGCTGACTCACAGTTAAACAGGCCAACCCAAGGCCATCTGCTTTGGCGGGCAGTAGTTTTCCTAGACCAAAGGGTCTCTCTCCAAGTCACGTGACCGAACTATCTCTTCACTGGAGTCTGGATGACCTACAGAGTGCACACTTGACCTCTGCTTTCCTAGGCTGTTCCCAAACTAAACCATGTTTGCTTCCTTTCTGGAACCACAGCAGATTCCGATGATATTCCCCTTAGCTTTCATGATAAGACGGCTTTACCTACGTAGTAGAGAAAGCAGACCGCCGAAGAATTGATGCCTTTGAATTGTGGTGCTGGAGGAGGCTCTTGAGAATCCCCTGGACTGAAAGGAGAACAAACCTATCAATTCTGCAGGAAATCAACCCTGAGTGCTCATTGGAAGGACAGATCCTGAAGCTGAGGCTCCAGTACTTTGGCCATCTCATGAGAAGAGAAGACTCCTTGGAAAAAACCTTGATGTTAGGAAAGTGTGACGGCAAGAGGAGAAGGGGACGACCGAGGATGAGATGGCTGGACAGTGTCCGCAAAGCAACCAACATGACTTTGACCCAACTCTGGGAGGCCGTGGAAGACAGGAGGGCCTGGCGTGCTCTAGTCCATGGGGTCACGAAGAGTCGGACACGACTAAACGACTAAAAGACGACGAAGAGAAAACACACTTCTGGGGAGAGTCACGAGACGTGACACGCACATGGCTGTCTTGAAAATAAATCTCATACCAGACATCCTTGGCCTCATTCAGATAATGTGAGAATAATAGGTCATGGGGTGGCACCGTGGGCAGCAGACTTGGCATAACAAGAATGACATTATGGGGATCAAGAGGAGGATTACTGGCAGACAGGTAAGCAGTAAGCTTTTAAAAAGACCTCCTTTCCCTCTGCAGGGAAATCTGGGGGAAAAAACCCTATTAAGGCATTACAAAATCTCGCATTCTGAACACACTGGGCAGGGGTGGTGTGTGTGTGTGGGGAGAGAACACCTGGCCCCTCCCTTCCACACTTACTGAAAAGGAGAGGTTCACGATCAACGTGTAGGCACTCCAAATGAATAAGGTCCCAGGCTTTCTAGTTCCCCCGCTCCAAGCATGTTCAGAGGGATAGATTCTATACTGCTTGAGCAGGGCCCAAGACTGGAATCCACAGCGAGAGAGACCAGATAAATGCACAGAAGGTAAACAGGGCTTCCTCCCAGTCTTCTCCCACTTTGCGCTGACGGAAGACACACGGGCCACCTCTCTCTTATACAGGGAACTTTGCCTGCCAGAATTCCTTCTCTTGCATACCTAGAAGAAGCGCAGGACTCTGAAATTCCTCTGCAGTTGGTCCCTTTATCCATAAGAGCAGCCTCTCTCTTGTTCAATCTTTACATTTTGGTCTCAACATAATACCCAGCGTCCTCTCTGTCTTCTCCCTGTTTTGCTTAACGTTCACTCGGAAGGAAATTTCTGGACAAACTGAACAGTACTTTCTGACAGTTTCGTTGCCCTCCCCACCCCAAAAGACAGCTTCTTTGGATCCTGCCCTTCATGGGCCAATGCAGGGACTTATGCATGGGATAGAACAGTTAGGGCATCTAACAGTTACGGAAAAGAAGAGAAAACATTCACATCTGCTGCAGAGCTTCCCTCTGTCTTGGGAGGGGGAAATCTCTGGCCCATGTCTCAGGCAGGCTCCTGCAAATGTCAGCGGAGAGCACTCTACTCCAATGGCCTTTTCCTTGTACAGGAAAAGAGCAGTAATGCCATCTAAACACTCTACCGGTTGAGACTGGGAGTCAGAACGCTTCTCCCCCTTTCCCCCCAGGAGATCCAGTAATGCTGGGGACCTTAGCTACATCCTGAGAGCACCATCCATGGCCATGGTGATTCCCCAATGATCGTTTCCTAACTCTGTCCATAAATACAGACATTCTGCACACCCAGGAGACCGTTTTAAGAATACAGTGACTACTGCAATTTACGAACCTTGGAAGCATCTTTTCTACGTAGATAGGCTTGGACTTTTAAGTCCTAAAATGAGGACATGATACTCAAGAACTTAAGAGGGTGAAATAAATCCGGTCGAGAGCCCCAAGAAATAATTATAGAAGTATGAACAGGCACTCCCGAATTACACATGCACAGAATGCGTAAGAATCCACAGGTTCACAATATATGCAGTTTTGGCAGGGCTGAAATTAATTAGTTTGTCTCTGTGGTCCTGCAGGACACTTTGGCAAGTAAGCTGTTCAATATTTATGTGTGTAGAGCTCCAGCTGCAGAAACTCCCTCGGTGATCTGACAGGGACCTCACAACCAGCATCTCATTAAATCACTGCATTAGCCTCCACAGCTCTGCATATGTAAATAAGGAAACAGAATACTGGTGTGTGAGCACAATCCTAGCTAGCCAAGATGGCTGAGGGCCAGCAGAGCTGACACTTGTTCAGTTGAAGCTGCACTGACTCTGATCCCCTTGCAGCCTAGGATTATTGGGAGTTACTCTGGAGAGCCCTCACTTTGGTCTCACTTTCTTTCCATCAGCACACGGCCTGTATCCAGGTACTCAAAGAAGTCTGAGGCTAAAATAATTCAGTGTTTCCTTGTCCCACCCTTCACCATCCCATTTTTAGCTCTTTGGTCAGCATAAACTGACTGACAGAGAAGTTCTGCTGGCAGATCTTGGGTCAGTAGGCTGAAGGAGGTTCTGCCACCCAAAGGGGATTGCTTCCTATTCTCAACTCCCTATAGTTGGTGCATCTTTGAGTTATGGTTGTGCAGCCAGTCTTGGTTATAAGAGACTAAGATGAAAGTTCTTTTGGAATGAAGAGTGTTGCTGAAGCTTAGAATTCAAAGTACACTAAAAGACCACCTTTGAAAAAGCTATCCCTTAGCTATTTCAACATAAACAGCACAATTAAGCCCTATATCCATCATCTCCCTGTCACAAGATCTATCTCCTTGTCCTATAAAACCAGCTCTGCCTATGGATAGCACTCTGATCAAGACAATATTAACAGGAGATTCTTGCTTTGGAAGCTGATAATCACTTGTATTAGTTGAATTGGCTGTGGCCAGACATCTTTAACTGAAGGAACTACTGTACTAGGCAATTGATTACATCTATCCTAGGCAACCTTTGGACTGGAGTGCTACTCTTTTGACTTAAGCTGGTGGTGAGCATGTTGGTTAAGGCCTGTCAAGAGTCAGGTCGAAAAGATAAAAACATGGAATAGTTTTATACAGAATTCTTGTGTCCCTCACAATAGGCAACAATACAAGATGTAATCCCCTGTTGCACAAAACTAAATAAATATAAATCCCAGAGACCAATTTCACTATTGATTTGTTACGTTTAGATCAGGAGAAGGCACATTTCAAACGTACAACACAGACTTGTATTTTACTAAAATCCTGACACTCATTAACTGCAAACAACAAAAGACATCAACTTTAATTAGAGAATACGGTGCCTCTAAGCAGCTGTTGAACATAGATGTCTGTTTTTCATACCAAAAGTAGCTAAGCCTAGATTTCTTCCATAGAAAAAATCCATTCCTAGTTTTCCTAAGCCTTCTTCATTCCAGTTCAATATGTGTGTGTGTGCGCGCGCATGCGCCTGTGGGTCATTCTATTGCCTTGAACTCTGCTCTCTCTCCATTTCGTGCACCTTGGGCAACTGTATAAACTCTGAAGGTTTCCCCCTTTGAACATATTTTTAAAACCAGCTCTCCAGTTTCCTGCTGCTCACTAATCATTAGTGTATAAGTGAATTAGGTATTTTTTTTCATTTCACTCTTTTTATTATTTCACTGTGCATTAGCCTGCACTTATGACCAAGGAACTTAGCCCGTCATTGTGTCACCCATTTGTTTAATGTAGACGTAGTTTTGGAATTCTGTTGGGAAAGTGTGAAGGCAAGAGGAGAAGGGGACGACAGAGGACGAGATGGTTGGACAGTGTCATCGAAGCGACCAACATGAATTTGACCCAACTCCGGGAGGCAGTGGAAGACAGGAGGGCCTGGTGTGCTCTGGTCCGTGGGGTCACAAAGGGTTGGAAAGGACTAAACCCATGGGGTCACGAAGGGTTGGAAAGGACTAAATGGCTAAACAAGCTTTGGAATTTTCCCAAGTGCCTGTGAGCTTTCCTTGAACATCCAGAATAACATGGTGTTGGCCTGGAAGTCTGTCTACTCCGCCACTCAGTTCTAATTCCACATTTTTGATGACCAAATAAT